TCCCCGATAGCGACTTTGTGGCGCGAAAATGAAAAAAGCTTTGAGAAAACATCCTGTCAGGTCCGCCAACGAATTGAATGAACAATTGCAAGAAATATAGGATTCGTTTACATTAGAATTTTGTCAGAACTTGGTAAAAACTATGCCTCGAAGAATTGTGGATGTCATTAAAAATAAAGAGGATGTAACTAGTTGGTAAACTTTCACATTTTTTTTATTAATATTACATATTCTATGCGTTTTTTTTAAACGTATTATTATTCTGTTTAATTAATAGTTTTCATTAGGTTATAAAATATTTTCTATAATTAGGAAATTCGAAAATGTTGTTCGATGCATTAAAACTTCTAAAATTTTGCGCTGCGCTTTTTTTTTGTTCTCTAAAATTTAATTTTCTTATCAATCTAACGTTGAGCCAACTGATATAGGAAGGAGCTCATGCTTATGAATAAGATTTAGAATGAGGGAAAGATTCCTAGTGACTGGAAAACCGGGGTTATATGCCCATTCTATAAAAAGAGGATAAACTGAAATGCGAAACTTATCGCTCTTGTGCACAGCGTCCAAAGTTTTTACTTATATAATAAATAAACGACTCCAACAACTAACTGAAAATATTGTCGGGGAATATCAAACCGGTTTCCGACAAAGAAGATCTACAACTGACCAGCTATTCACAGTGAAACAAATTCTAAGTAAATCGTGGGAATACGACATTGACGTCCACAACATATTCATAAATTTCAAACAGGCCTACGACTCAATGTACCGGGTGGTCCAATAAGCCGATTGCTCGGCTATATATCAGAAACTATTCATGTTATAACTTGGGGAGAAAAAATTCCTTAGTAAAAGTGACCAAAAGAAATCGCTGGAAATAACTTTCAAGTTTCTGGGTTAACCGCTAGGGGGCGTAACCTGTGAAGAAAAATTTGAAAACCAGTTTTTTGTAAAATATGCCCAATTATACCAAGTGTTAAATAAGTGAACTAGAAAGAGGGCTAAATTCCGCACAAAGTTGTTCAAGTACTTTTTTTTTATTTTTTCAAATAAAGGGTGGATGAGGGTGGCAAAGTATTTGTGGATAAATACCTATAACTTTGGTTTGGATCAACCGATTTTAACGAAATTAGTGTCATTAGAAAGAGTGTGGATAATTTAATCTACATCTACTATAAAACAATTGCATTTAATCTTAATTGTCATGGGTAGAGGGTACTTTCAAATAGAAAAAATTAAAATTTGTTTTTCTTTAAAATGTTTAATGGAAACACCTATTTATTGTTAATTATAACTGAACTGGATTAAATTCGTAACAAAATGGCACAAACCGCATGTTGATAGCTTTTGTCAAACTCGAGATATGAATAAAAACGCATAAACATAAGTATAGTATTGACTCACCCTTTATTATAACTTAAAATTAAATATGTGAAAGAATATACAAATATCTCGATCATTAAAACTTAATGTCCAATTAAATGTTCAAATTGTTTTCCATCGTTGAACACACAAAGATGTAATCTTTCGCGCGTAGACATAACAGCTGCTTCAATCTCAGCTGTTGATATATTATTTATTGCGTTTATAATGCGCTGTTTCATGTCATCTCGTGTGGTTGGTCGAGTTTGGTACACTAAGTCCTTCAATCTTCTCCACAGATAAAAGTCCAGACATGTTAAGTCTGGAGATCTAGCTGGCCATGAAAATATACTTCCCCTTCCAATCCATTTATTTGGATAACTTGCATACAAATAATCTCGAACTCGTCTGGAAAAGTGCGCAGGACACCCGTCATGTTGTAGTATCATATCTCTTCTTGTTTGTAAGGAAATATCTTCCAATAAAACAGGCAACTGATTTTCCAGAAAATTCAAATATGTTTCGCCATTTAAAGTTCTATCAAAGAAATATGGACCTACGATCTTTCCATCAACTATACCACACCAAACATTAAGACTCCATCTACCTTGAACCTGCATCTCATGTATCCAGTGCGGATTTTCTTCAGCCCAATAATGCATATTATGCAGATTAACACCACCCGCACTATTAAACGTAGCCTCGTCTGTCCACAAAATCTTTGACAGGATATCCGGTTGTTCTTCTAGCAGACCTAACATCCAATTGCAGTAATCCAGCCTTGCATCAAAATCTCTCTCATGTAAAGCTTGGTGGAGAACTACATGATAAGGATGCAGTCTAAAAAACAGAACAACAAATATTGGTGAAAAAGAAACCACTACATTTACTAAAACTCAAAAATCTTAAAAAATCCAAAATTGTTTCACAAGATAAATCGTGCATAAGTATTTTTAGGAAACGGATAAAAGGATAAAAGCGCCGTGTTGCCGTTTTTATCGGAATATTAAAATAACAGTTGAATCTAAAGTTTAAAGGGAATTCCAAGTTTCTGACCTAAACGTTCACTTTATAGTATGAAAAACCAACCTGTGATGTTTTAAAATCCTTAGAACAGTAGTTTTGGGTATGTTTAATTCTATAGAGATTTGCCGACTACTTATATGTGGATTCTGTTGAATTAAAGCAAGAACATTGATTGAATTATCTTCGGTCATACCTCTACTACGTCGTTTAAAACAAGGACGATGAAAACTACCAGTTTCTCTTAATCTTCTTGCCTTTCTTTCAAATACTTCTTTGCCATAATGTCTCCTGTCAGGATATCTTACAGAATATATACGTGAGGCAATAGCGGCATTTTGGTGACATTCGAAATAAACTCCAATCATATCATACAATTCTGCATTGGATATACTCATCCTGAATTATTAGTACTGATAATTAATTACTAATATTACCAATATTGATATCTATTGAAAAAGTGCAATCTTCAATTTGAATTATAATATAACACTTCTTAACAATGTTTTGACTGCTGTCAATAAATAAACAATATGATCTCCCCGTCAAATTCATTGTCGTAGCCTACTTAGTTTCGAAAAAACTATTTTTAATCATCTGAAATAACAATGGTCAAAATGGATATCAATATTAAGATTCTTCTGCTATAAAAAAATTTGAAAATACCTACTGACTTATTTTTTAATTTAATTTATAATACAGGGTGAGTCAATACTATACTTATGTTTATGCGTTTTTATTCATATCTCGAGTTTGACAAAAGCTATCAACATGCGGTTTGTGCCATTTTGTTACGAATTTAATCCAGTTCAGTTATAATTAACAATAAATAGGTGTTTCCATTAAACATTTTAAAGAAAAACAAATTTTAATTTTTTCTATTTGAAAGTACCCTCTACCCATGACAATTAAGATTAAATGCAATTGTTTTATAGTAGATGTAGATTAAATTATCCACACTCTTTCTAATGACACTAATTTCGTTAAAATCGGTTGATCCAAACCAAAGTTATAGGTATTTATCCACAAATACTTTGCCACCCTCATCCACCCTTTATTTGAAAAAATAAAAAAAAGTACTTGAACAACTTTGTGCGGAATTTAGCCCTCTTTCTAGTTCACTTATTTAACACTTGGTATAATTGGGCATATTTTACAAAAAACTGGTTTTCAAATTTTTCTTCACAGGTTACGCCCCCTAGCGGTTAACCCAGAAACTTGAAAGTTATTTCCAGCGATTTCTTTTGGTCACTTTTACTAAGGAATTTTTTCTCCCCAAGTTATAACATGAATAGTTTCTGATATATAGCCGAGCGATCGGCTTATTGGACCACCCGGTACATCCTAGACTAGTAAAGGCAACAATAGACTCGTCAACAGCAACTGTCAGAGTACAAAATGAGCTCACTGAGAACTTTTCAATAGTCAAATAAGGAGACGGGTTGGCACCTACACTATTCAATCTGACTCTTGAATATATGATAAGACAGCTGAATATAGGAAGAGGTAATCTTTAAGAGTAATCTGCTAACAAATAAAGCAATACAGATTGTCGCCTATGCCGATGACATTAGCATCATGTCTCGTTAGAACAGAAGAGGCGTCAGAAATATATTCACAATTAAAAACAGGGACAGAAGAGACCGGACTAGAAATAAATATTCAAAAGACAAAAAAACTAACACAGGAAAGAGCTAGGGGAAACAGACGCACAGTTGAATTAGAGGACGATATTGAAAGTATAGAAAGTTTCGCATATCCGGGAGTTACATTAAACACGGATGACGGATGGAACAGAAGAACTAGAAATTTAAAGAAGCATAGGAAAAACACACACTGGAGATCGAAAATCAGGGTCTACAAAACTATTATCAGACCAATAGTATGTTATGGATGCGAGACATAGGTGATGACAGAAGACACAAAACGAAAGCTAAAAGAAAAATCCTAAGAAAAATATTTGGACCCATTAACGAAAACGGAGTATGGAGATCCAGGTACAACCATGAACTTTACAAAGAGGCACCGATCTCAGAATTCGTTAAACTTCAGAGACTTCGGTCATGTAGTGAGAATGGAGACTGAAAGATTGCCAAAAAGAGCCCTAGTAAAATGCAGGGCGCAAGACGAAAAGGAAGACCACAGAAATGGTGGGAGGATGAAGTGAGACGTGCAAACCTGGGAAAGATCGGTGCGGGACCGGCAAGGCTGTAGGCATAGTTTTGACTAGGCCAAGGCTCGATTTGGGCTGCAGCGCCATTGAAGAGAGAGCTGCTGTAATAGCGTGTTCAACACGTGAAACAATGAGCGAATTTCTGGCAGTAGAGTAAGCAGCGACGTTTTCAAGTAAAAGCTCAAAGGAAAGAGCAAGTTCTGCATATAATGTTATTTTCTCGACATAATTTGTATCCTAAAGAATAAGTTTTGGGAAATTTTTATTTTATCATTTGATTCCTATTTACAATTGAAATAAACTTTCCAAGAAATAAATTCCAAGATTTTGTCGATTAGCCAGTGCTGAAAATAATGGAATTATATATTCTCTGAATTTTACTTTATTTCTATTTGAATTCTTGAATTTAGAAAATACAATAAGGAAAAAATAAAACACTTACTTGAATTGAAGTTAAAATAGCAGATACGTCATAAGTAGGACTCCATCTATTTTGTAATATATCTAAACATATACCACCATCAGCATATACATTAGGGTGAAACATATGACTAACGAATCTGACTGTAGGTGGTTTATTTGGATATTCTTCTGTAAACTCAATAGTTAGTTTAAAAGTACCATCTTCAAAGGGTGTGTCATGGGGTCCAAATATAACTGCATTCCAGATCATTATATTATTGTCAGTAGGAGCACCACTGACTCCAGTAGGTGGGTCCTCCTGTAATCTAAAAAAGAAAAAAAAACATTAATATTTTTCCAGAAAAATGACATATAAAAATTTACATTTCAGGACATCCATGGGAATGCATTATGTACATCTATTATCTGTTAAACATCAATGTTTGTAATCATAAATGGTGTCAGTTCCTCCTCTGTTCAGTCACAAAAGTATTTACACTAATTGTTGTTGTTACACAGTATACAGAATCAGAACTACAGAAAATGTAATAAATTTTTGGGAGGAAAAATTTCTTGGATCTTTCACCTCTTTCCCTCCTTCATCTTCATTGGTTTAAGATATGGACATTCTTTACTATAATTATTGTGCTATGGTTATAAATATTAACAGTTTACACACAGTGCTTCTTTAGTTTTTAAAAAATGGGGTGTTAAATTCGGCGGATAGATTCAGTGATTGTGAATTCTGTATTTGTGGTGGACTATAACCTACCTGAGACATCCTGGGATAATCTTAATGGTGTTACTTTTGAGTGTCCGCAATACTCTCCAGCAAATATTATTTGTACTTGCTCCAATTTTCAAAATATTTCACAAGTAAATGCTTTGCCTAACCTTAATAATAAATTTTGAGATCTAGTTTTCTGTACTCAGAGGGATACAGTTGTGTCAATTTCGACTGATATTCTATTGAATACTTCACAACATCATTCAGCTTATACTATATTGTTACATGCAGACAATTTAAGTTTGTTTCTTAAATACGATTTTGTCTTCTATCATGATTTTAAAAAATGTAATTACCAAGTTTTAAATGAATATTTAGCTTCAATTCCTTGGAACAAGGGTATTATATAAATCAGATATTAATTGCTGCATCGAAAATTTTTACCATATCTTGTATGACGCCATCAATATGTTTGTTCCTATGAGCTCCTATTCCTTGTATGAGCTTGTCATACAGAAAAAAAATGGATCATAGGAATTTTAAAGCATCAGGCAACTCATATGAGCAATTTGCAGTGTTAAGGGAAAGATGTAAATCATTCCAAGTAGTACGTTATAAGAATTATTTAGAGAATATTCAAACAAATCTGTCACATAATCGCCACTCTTTTTGAAGGCACATTAGTGCTACACGTGGGTCTAGTCCTTATCCTAATGTAGTGTCTAATAAAGGTAGGGATGTAATAGCTCAGCGTGGTGAGGGAATAGTCAAATATATTTGCCACTTTTTTTTCATGATAGTGAGTATAATGTACCCAATTTTGAATTAAACTATAGTGGGGATATTATAGATTCTGAAATTTAGTGTGATGTTTTTGAGGGAGATTATGAGTTTAAAAACTACATATTCTTCAGGACCTGATGGTATACCTGCAGCACTTATTAAGAACTGTATTTTTTGCATTTGTAAACCTCTACAACAAATTTTCAATTTATCATTGTCATAATCTGTATTCCTACAGTAATTCAAAAATAGTTTTCTTATACCTATTTATAAATCTGGCACGTATGAGTGTGTTAATAATTATAGAGGTATAACTATTCAATCAGTAATCCTGAAACTTCCTGAAACAATACTTGTTAGGTGCATTTGAGAATAAAATTTGGGTCAACAGCATTTTCACTGATTTTTCAAAGGCCTTTGACTGTGTTAATCATAACCTTTTGGTTCACAAACTTCATGCATCTGGCTTAGGTGTTCGTAATGATGTACTCTTGGATTCAGTTACTGAGATTAGAGATTTGGTTGTATTATTGGATTATACATGACATTTACAAGCCATTTTCTTAAAATTAAGGAATCAGAAATTCGTAATCTTGGTTTTATTGTCTTATGTCTTGAATATTGCTGTTGTTTGGTCCCCATTTTATCAAGTCTACATTAATGGATTGATGAATATATACTGAAAATTATTTCATAGATTATTCCGTAATAATGTCTGAATTTAAACTGAAGAACCATAATCTATACTTAAACACAATACATAGAAATCGACATACTGCACTCTTTTATATTCCTTTTCATAGGACCGATTATGCTCGTCATTTTTTCTTGTCGAGAATGCTCAGCTCTTGTAATGATCTGCTATTGATCCAATGTTTTCAAAAGGCAACTTAGGAGTCTAATTAATCTAAACATGTGATTATTTTACCTTTTGTGATTTGATATAATGTTTTAATGTACAAATTTGTATTCGCGATAGCCAATTCCGACAGAGGGCGCTGAAGATTTCAAAAATGGACGATAACTTCGGGAAAACAAATCATTTTGTCATGTGATCTCTAAGCTATAAAACGTTTAATATAAATCATTTACACGTGTGTTTTTCCAAAGCAAAAGTTGAAGTAGGTTCTTCAAAGTTTATTTGTTTGAGATTCGAGTTTATATATAAGGTAATTGACTCCCAAACCTGAATAAAAATATAATTAAATGTTTGTTTTTCTACAGTATGTCTGGAACACGGGAAGTAAAATTTACATTATCTTAATTATTTATATGGTTACAAGATCGGCAGAGATCTTTGGTTGAGACTGAGGCAGTTTTTGGAGCTGGCCGCGTTATATTTTGTAAATTACACCTTACATTTTGTACTAATAACATGATACCATTGGGACAATTTAGCTGATGGAACAGCATTTTTCTTTAGTCTTCTCAATTAATTTCAGGTGTTACTATAAAGTAGATTAGGATTAGAACAGTTGTTTAGAACAATTATAATAGGATGAACATTAAGGAACACTGCAATAGTTTTTTAAAGTCGAAGTAATTGTTAATTACAATATAAACCGGTCGATAATATGTATACAAAATAATGACTATTTCAATGTTTTCCCGATGTGGATACTTTTGAAATCTACCACCAAGCGTCGCCCACTTTGCGGTTCCTCGCCAATTGTTTAATTGTTTCTTTGTTGTTGTTTTGATTATCATTGTACATGATCTTTAATTTTTACTATTTTTTGTATTTTATCGTAAATGGTTCTACCATTGAAATAAATAAATAAATAAATCAATTGTTTCTGAGTTATAGAACTTCAAAATGCTGGTTTTTAGTCTATTTTTAAAAATCATGAATTTGGAAATGTACTCTCCCACACATTCAATATACGGCATGTGAATCTCAATAAACATGAATATGGAATAACATTTTTTTGTCAGAAAAACATTAAGAAATGTTAATTCGGTACCATATTCCATGTTAATTGAGATTCAGATGTCGTATATTGAATGTGTAGGACGGCATGTTTCCCAATTCATCATTCCCAATTTTGAACATCCATAACTCAGGAATGATTGATTTCTGAGTTTTGGAAGTAGAGTGTACTGTGTAGGAAGTAGTGAGCACTTTTGATTAGTATGACCAATTTAACTGAAACCACTTTTACATAAGTAAATTAGAAATACACCAGGAATATTTACTCGAATATGACACAACCAATGAGGCTAATAGTTGAATTGTATGTCACATTTGAGGGTTCATATTGAACATCTTTTTGTAGCTTTGACCTTTTGAACACAAATTAATCTAAGAATTCAAAAATAATTTTTAATTCGAAATATCTCAGTAGCATACCATTTTTTTAAAGGCAGAATTTACAAAACAGTAATTAGAACCATTGACATATGCGACAGAAACTCTACCTGACACAAAGAGAACAAAAAGGATGTTAGAAACGGCAGAGATGAAAACACACAAAAGAAAAATTGATAGTAAAACACTATGGGACAGAGCTAAAAGTACAGATATACAACACAGATGTAAGGTGGAGAACATCAAGGACTGGGTAAGAAATAGAGTAGTAAAGACGAAAAGAGACACTGGACGCACATTGAAAAACAGTCATGTCTTCATAAAAAGAACAAGAACAAGGCAACCAAAGCACAAACTCAATCTAGTTCAGTGCATCAGTGTAGGACTTACATAATAATGAAATTGTAAGATGTGTACTTCACCTAATAAGCTTGGGCATATTATACACAAATCGTAGAGGATTCTACAAGGTCAAACATTTTAAAACCTCAGATAATACAGATCTCAGTCTTATGGGACATTTTGTATGTGAATGTGTTTATATTACATATTAAGCATTTTTTAAGCTAGTTATAATAGTTATCATTAAAGAGCGGCATGCTGGGACAAAGAGCAAAACATTTGGTTAAAATATGTTTATCTAAAGGAAATAATGAAATCCCTTCAAGTAAAAGTAAGTACAGTAAAACCTCGATATAACGGACCTCTATTTAACGGACTTCGGATATAATGGACAAAAAATCAGGTCAAATGCAAAAAAAATAAAAACATACTCTTAATTACAATATAATAACGAGTAGGTTTATATGATTATATGGGTGATTACCACATTGGTTACTCACCACTCTACAGCAGTTCTGTTTATTTCGTTGTGAATGAACACATTTAGTGTACGCCAGCAACTAAGTTAAAACTTTTGCAATCCTACCATTTAAATATGGACAAACGGAAAAGAAACAATCGAAATCGATCAATCAAAAACTAGAGATTCTACAAAAGTTGGAGTCTGGAACGTCTGTGTGTCATATATGTGATCAATATGGCATAAAAAAGCAAAATGTTTTGGACATAAAAAACAAGAGCGAAATAAATAAATTTGCATTAATGTGTGATGAAGGAGAGAACAGAAATCTCAGAAAACGAATGAAATTGGCTCCTGAAATTTTACTGGAAGCAATCTTAAAATGGTACGGCCAAAAATGTTTCAGTAGGGTGCCGGTCCAGGCAGTCAAATTGAAATCTGTTGAAATTAAATTAGCAAATCATATTAACATACCATTCAGAGCAAGTGATGGATGGCTCTGGCGCTTTGGCAAAAGACACAGAATCATTAATAAAATAATTTACGGCGAAGCTTCAAGTGCCCCAAAAGAAGAAATAGAACTTTTTTGGCAAACTTTAGTGGAACATTTCTTCTTCTTTGAGTATCGTGCCCAATTTTTTTAAGCGTAGGGAGCTTCCATGACGATTTGCCGATATCTCAGATTTATAATGCTGTCTAAACTGGTTTGTTATGGCGTACTTTACCTGAAAGCACACAAGCCTCCAAATATGAAAAATACAATTCTGTACAAATGACTCCTGTAATGGTTGGCAAATCTCGTAAACCTAGAGTTTTAAAAGATATAATGCAACATCCGCCTGTTTCATATTATAGCTCCAATAAGTGGAAGATGGTTCACCTCGTTTTTGACCAAAAAAATACAACATTGCTTATTCAACCCATGGATCAGGGTATACTTTTGGCAACCAAACGAATATATTGCAGAAATTTTTACACAAAGTAATGGTTATAGTGCACGATGGAGATATTGCAGAAGATACAAAGGGGCAGGTAAGGTCTTACAATTTAAAATCAACAATTTTTAATTTTGCTGCAGCATGGGAGGAAGTGAAAGAGCAAACATTAAAACATGGTTGGCAGAATTTGTTTGATGCCTAAGATGCAGACACAGATTTAGAAGGTCTGGAAGTTACTGATTTCTGTAAGATAATGCATAATAATGCCGGAGAACATGTAGCTGAGGAAGATGTTTTACAATGGCTAAAAGTAGATGAAGGTGACCCTCGGTATAACATCATGATTGAAAGTGAAATAGCAATAGAATATGAAGCTAAAAAATGAGGATGGAAGTAAAGATAGTGAAAAAGATGACAAAACAACACTGCCAAAAATGAAGTTATCAGAAGTAAGATCACATCTTGACGATCTTGTAACATTTATTGATTATTCAGCAGATAACGAAGTTGAACTGTATTTTACGCATTTTCGTAATTTTAGAAAGTTTATCATAAAAAAACAGCAAACATCGAAAGTGCAAACGAAATTTGAGTCCTCCTGAAACAGCAACGTCACTCAATGAAGAACGTCCGAAAACAATTAAATAGAATTTTGTTAATTGTTATTCATATTAATTGTGTAATTATTTTAAACATATTTTTATATAACAGACTTTCAGCTTTAACGGACACCCTGTCCACCCAAGTAGTCCGTTATATCGAGGTTTTACTGTATTAGTATGTAATTATATAGTTGTGGCAGAAATTTGTGGTGTGGGTTGTTAATAGGGATATGCAGATATTTTACAATTACTTTTTTTCTGTTTCAGGTGAAAAATATTAATTTACAAATGTAATTCCAGTGCGCCAAGAACTATCTACTACCAAAAACTTAAGTATTTTTTAAGGATCCCAGAATATAATAATAGAGGTACACTAATATGATATATTTCTAATTCTTTGCAGGTGAAAAAAATGTATCTTTAAATTTAATTTCAATGGGCCAAGAATTATCTGCCTCATTAAGTGTTTTTCCTTCATTTTTGCCTCCAAAAGATTAAGTATCAACCATCGGATCATGATTCAACATCATCAGATGAAGAAACTGTAGAACAGCTGGTACATCCTACACAAGAAAAAAGATGGAAATTGGGATCTTATTTCAAACATTCAGCATTTATGGGATCATTATTGAAAATTCAAGATAAAATTACAGCAAGATAGCGGACAGTTGATCCAGAAAAGCAAAAGTTTATACTGAAAACTTACAAATATTTTTTGGTAGTGAAGGCTACTCGTCAACCTGTTTCTCCAGATTGTTGTTATAAATTTTGGGTGAAAGTGAAAACTTCATAAAGACAGTGGCTTTAAAAAATAAGATTCCATTGCTGGTATACATACTGATAATATGAGTGGCATTCATTTCACACCCAAACAGAAAATTTCAGATGAAAGACAAGAGAAGATAAAAACTCATATAAAATTATTTCTGTTTTATAAAAGCCATTACAAACGAAACACTAAAATGAAGAAATATTTACCATCCCACTTAACATTATGAGGAATGCATGATCTATAGAAACAATGCCAGCAAAATCCAGTTGCTATCAAGATATATGAACAAGAATTCCATAAAATGAAACTATCATTTAAAAAGCCTTGAATTGATACTTGTTTTATTTGTGACAAATTTCTCATGCAAATAAAACGTTGTGAAGATGAACAATCCCAAGCCGAACTTGTTAGTGAACATGACTATGACATGAGATAAAATCTCAGCAGATCACGCATATCAGGAGAAAATATTTAATACACAACTAAGTACAGAAGACATCACAGTGCAGACATTCACATTTGATTTTCAACAGTGGCTGCCTACACCATCATGAAGTTCTGTAGTTGCTTTTTATAAAAGGCATTTGTGGACTTACAACCTAACAATACATGACAACAAAACTGAAAAAGCCTTGTGTTATGTGTGGTACCAAACCATTGCTGCTTGATGGGCTAACCAAATTGCCCCTTGTTTATACAAACATTTGCAGACTTCTTTATCAACAAATGTAAAACACATCATCTTCTACTGACACTTATACTGGTCAAAATAGAAACTCCCATGTAAGTACAATGGCCACATGAATTCTTATGTTCAATAGAACAAAAGTTTATGATTCAGGGACAGAAGTGGATATTGACCATAGCATAATGGAAAAGAAAAAAACTAAAATACAGATTTACCATCCCCATGAGTGGATGCAGCTAATAAAATCTAGCATTTCCAAATTTAATGAAGTTTAAATGATTTCTAAACAGCCAATTCCAATTTCTAATCAGAAACAAAACAACTTGTCACTGCTGCTGCTACCAGATATTTTTCACCAATTTTATAAAGATTTACTTTCAACAGAAAATTTGCATAACACATATCCAGATATTGTGGAAGATATTCAAGAATCCAAATTTTAAAGCAACTATGGTAATAAATTATGTATAATTATGTAGTAAACTTAAAACACATGTCATTTATTTATTTTGAACTAATGAACATTTCCAAGTCAAATAAAAAACTTCGCAACTATTTTGTCTTACGTTTTATTGTGGTAATAGTTTGAAACCAAAAAAGTATCTATCTGTATAAACACCAATGAAAGAAGTGTCAGTGACAAGTTACAATAAAATATTGTAACATTTAAATATTTATGCATTTTACATTTACACAAAGAATTTTAAACAATTAAGTAGTAAGTCTATACTTAGATGAATATACACTCATTACTTTAAGGTATGTGTTGTAAAGAGATTATGACATTTTGTATTTTCAGAAATTTGGTATTATTTATTCAGAACTATGTGCAATAATGGTTTATGGAAACATAATTTTCTTTGACACATATACCTAATTTTGCATAAGATTACTGAATTTGCTAATATAATTTGGATGGGGAATTAATAACAAAGCAAATTGGTTTTTGCATACATTTATGCATTCTTTGTTTCATAATTAAATAATTTTCTAACATTTATAATTAGGATTACTTAAAACAAAAGACCTATATTTATTTTTCTGATAGCATAAAAGGAAAATATTTTCTTAATTTCCACTTAATGTACCAGTACCTACACTGTCACCATAATTCTCGAATTGTTAATCAATATTCTCTTATCTATTCACAAAAAGCTAATAATAATATCTACCAAACACTAGTTTCAAGACCAAGACCAATGAAAATTAATGAATCACCAACCTTTTGAAGTCTCTCATAAGGCGTCTTCGGGCAGGAGTAGACATGTTGTATTTAAATTTAATATATTATATTTCACCTAAATATATTTATTAATAGTTTTATATACAACAAAACACAATAAATTTGCACTATGTTAGAACATTCAATTAACTTCCAAATCCCAGAATATCTTTCTTTGCATGACATAAATGTCTAATAACAGTTTTGTTCACTTCACGAGTTCTACTCTTTGCTGTCATCTGTCATAGTATATATCTGTTCAGAAATCAGAATCAGACAGAACATTACATATTTGGCTACGTCAAATTTGTTGCGTTAATTTGTGAAAAGGTCATTTTACGTTGCAGGGCATTTTCTAGCGAATGGTCACTTTTTTGATTTACCTTAATTACTGTTAAATTCTGGACAATATTTTAAAACTGATTATTAGATATATATGCAATGGATCATTAAGTCCGATTTTGAATTTTCTCATAGATTTGTATGAAAACTTTAATACAATGATATTAGCTTTATTGATGTTGGTATCAATGACACATAACTGAGATTGTTGGTGATCCTGTTTTACAAAAACGCAAAACGCTGCCAGGTACATCCGCAATTATATTTAACCTCAAAGTTTAGCTTGCTTGAGTCCAGTACACGTTTTGTTTAAATATCTGCAGAAAACAAATTTAATAAGTAAGTTTCATTTTATTTTAGAATATTTTTGTTTTCTTTTGGTATATATACATTTTCTTTAAAGAACCTTTCTTTATTTCATAATGTTTAACAACATAGCGTCTTTTTATAAAATCCAGTAACAACCTTCTTGTATACATCTACACGTTTTTGTTAAAATATAAGCCACATTGTTTCATTTATTCAATTTTACATACAGCTTCTTCCAGTTCTAATTTTGACAACACACTAAATATTTGCCCAGAACATATATATAATTGTAATATCTATGATGTACAAAACACAAACACAATTTTTTTCATGAGAAAGTTGTTTATAGTAAATGATCACGAATCTGTGCTTAGTTTTTTCCTGCACGTCAGGTTTTTAGGGAAATTGTGTTTGAAATTTTTCATAGAATCTGCCAAAAATACTGAGAAAATATTTCTTGTAACTATATTTAAAATAAAATTATATGGTAAAATTGAGTTGTTTATAAAAAAAAACAATGGGATACTTATAATCTATGTTAGATAATCCTTGGTTTTTGAATAAAATTGTTCTTTTTTTTTCGTGAAAACAGAGTTTTATAGTTTTCTTTTTGTGGATTTTTATGAGTGAGTTCCTCTTCAAGTTCCAGCAGTAATCAGTCATCATTCTAATATTCCATATTCCTTGGTAACTTCTCTCCATCTCCATTATGTTTTGACAGATGATTTTCAGGAAAATAGTTAATATAGGAATCCAGAAAATGAAGTTTGACACTCATATTGCATTCCAGTTTTTCTGAGAAAATGGGGATTCCTGGTCCATGTCCAGGTACAGGTCATTTAGTAGGTGTTAAATGGGAATACTGAATTGTATGTTTATTTTTCTAATTTAAACCCTTGACATCACAGGAGCAAAAATAACAGGTGTCTCCATGTTTTGTCCATTTTCTCAACACACTGAAAACACACTTTGTGTGAAGCGCAAGGTTTGTCCTGGTCACCAAGCTTTACACTGCAGTAAGTAAGATAAGCTATAGAAAGTAGAGCATGGAGGTGAGTGGAATGAGGTCAGCAGAGAGCTATAAATATTGGATTACTCTAAGGCCCATATTGGGACCACATCTTTATCGTTTATCTTTATTAATGTTTTTACAGACACTGTACATACCTCATCATGATCTTAATGCAGACATAGAAGCTTCACAACAAGCAGAAGTTAATGCAGAACAATGGTTTGTTTTAAACCTCAATAAAACCCAAACATTCAAGTTTTTTTTTCAACAAGGCAGTTTACTTCTGGGGATGCAGACAAACAAATAAAATTTTTGGGGGTTTATTTGGATGCAGAACTATGTGGGAATGCTCATACAAGGTCCCTTGTTGCTAAATTAGGATCTGTAACTTTTCTGATAAGGAGACTTAATGTGTATCTCAATTCACTCTAAAACAGGCCTTTTTGCAGTGTGTCATTCACACATCATCTAAGCTTTTGGCATGAGGTCACAGTGCTGGAGCCAAAATGTCTTGAATTCAGAGAAAAGTGGTAAGGATAATTGCTGGCTTGTCAAATCAGAAAGAATGTCAGCAAGCATTTGTTGCACCACACATACTAACTCTACCTTCACTATTTATGAACTAAGGACTCAGAAAACAAAACACAACTCAATGCTGCAAACAATATGACCCCAATTAACTATTTTGCAAAAAACTGCTGATGCCATTGAGATGAAATATACATATACTAAAATATTTTCAATCAATGTATCAAGTATTTTAAAAAACTTCTTTTAATGCAATATATGAAATATCAATACTTTGCTCTAGTACAAAATATGTCACAAGGTCTGAGATATTTTGTGAAAAATTTTGATGTGATGGGCTCAACCAAATTCATATCCAGAATCAATGTACCCATATTACCTAAGGACACTTATCCAATTCATAATACCAAAAGTTATGTCTGCCTGTTTACTAATTTGATTAAAAAAAAATGACTTACAATACTTTGGCAGAAACATATCAAATCTTCACTGAATCTCCCAGTACTGAGGATTACATGTAAATTAAATATATTTTTTTGTTATCTTATATTCCTTAAATCTATCGTGACATTTCATTAAAACATAGGTTCTACTGACCTTAGTAACAAATAATTATTAAATATTATATTCATATGGGATTAAACCATAATAGATTATAATGAAAATTACATTTTACACTATAATCGCCACAGAGTGCCAATTGATAAACATAGGTTAACTTCTTCTAATAGTGCTGTGCACCTATAGTGCGTTGGCGAATTATCTTAAGGACCAGATGTATGTCTTTTGCGGCATGCAAAAGATCACCAGTGTTATTTATGCTTGTCCAGTTTTTAGCTAAGTTGTCTTTAATGGCCTGTTGTGCGTAAAAATAAAAAAATAAATAGTTTTTTATGTTCCATAGTCACTAAATTTGTTTGAGACCTACTCCTCATCATAATCATCATTTTGGCTTTACAACCCTGTGTGGGTCCTAGCCTCCCCAGGAATTTTTTTCCAGTCGTCCCTATTCATCGCCTTCCTCCGCCAAGCACATATTTCTATATTTCTCATATCTTGGTCTATGTTATCTAGGAATCTTGTTCTGGGTCTTCCTCTTCTTCTTTGACCAATAGGTCTATCAAGGAGGGTTTTTCTAGCTGGATCAGTTTGCTCCATCCGCATTACATGGCCTACCCACCTCAGATGTCCTATCTTAATGTGTTTTACGATATCTGGTTCCTGGTATATTCTAGAGTTCGAAGTTGTATCGTCTTCTCAGGCACCATTTTCATTTACCGCTCCATAGATTCGCCTTAATATTTTTCTTTCGAAACATCCTAACATGTTTTTATTGCTTTTTGTTAAAGTCCAGGTTTCTGAACCATATGTTAGGACTGAGCGTATTATTGTTTTGCTAAGTTTTATTTTGGTATTTCTTGATATAACTGTAGATTTAAAATTTTGGTGTTTATTATTAAACCCATTTTTGTAGCCGCTTCCTTTAGTACTAAGTACGCCTCTCGTGTTGCGTTTTCAACTGCATTCAACTTTTTCAAGGGTTAGTTTGGTTAGACTTACCAACTGATTTGGTACTCCTAGGTCTATTATTACTCTAAACAATTCTCTTCTATTTACAGAGTCGTAGACTGCCTTGTAGTGTATAAATATGTGGTGCGTATCTACCCTGTATTCCAGTGTTTTATCTAGAATTTGTCTCAGGGTCGAAATCTGATGTATTGCGACCTACTCCTCTATTGCCATCAATCTTTCCCTGGATGATTAGTTGAGGGATTGCATATTTTTTTCCTCTCAGAATATGGCTGAGGTATCCAATTTTTCGTACCTTATCAAATTGAGTAGTTCTCTCCCAGTATTTGCCTTTCTTAGACTTCTTTGTTTCTCACCCTATCTGTCTATGGTACACGGAACATTCCCCGCAACGTCCATGTTTCCATGCTGTATAACAATATGGACCATACATAGCATTTAACCATCCTGTAGCGGAGACTGAAGGAAAGATTTGAGTTACATAGTAGTGGTTTAAATTTGATAAAAGCTTGTCTTGCTTGTTCGGTACAGCATTTTATTTCTTGTTGAGGATACCATTGGTCATTCATCATCATTCCCAAGTATTTAAATGTTTTTACTTGATTGATTGGAACACTATCTACTTGCAGTTGTATTCTTAAAAGTGTGTTTTTTCTTATTACCATGCATTTAGTTTTTCCAGCATTTACCTTCAAGCCATATATTTTTCCTACAGTGTTTATTTTATTTAACATCATCTGCATATCATGTTCGTTGTCTGTTACTATCGCGGTGTCGTCGGCGTAATCGGCGTGTCGTGGTATTTATCGGAAACCCGTTTACCTTTATTCCACACTCAGAGCCTTCCAGTGCCTCTGCAAAAATGTTCTCCACATAGAGATTGAAGATCATAGGAGACAAAATACACCCCTGTCGCACCCCTCTTAAATAGGTTTACATAATTTCCTAATTCATAAAAATTTTTTGAAAATAGTTTCTGCATTGGAAATCGAATTGTCAAAAAAAAAAACAAATGTTAATGTAATTTTCATGACAATTAATTCTGGCGTAATCTCTTATAAATACAATATTTAACTTGGAACATGCTTCAAGAAAATACTTTCAGAACCTCTTTAAATAATTATTATTCATATTTGCCTGTTTCTAATAAGTGTGTAGATATATTTACATTTGTTCTGGGTTAATAGTTTTTTATTGTGAGTTATTAAGTACTAGCAGTATTTGGTACAAGGATTGAATGTACCTTTTTCTTATTTCAGAAATGACGGATGTTGCACCAAAAACTCCTAATAAGAGAAAAAGTTTGGGTGTGAAAAATAACTCTGCCAAAAAAGTTAAACTGGAAAATGGACAGACACCTAAAGTGCCTGGATCTGCAAATAAACAAAAAGGTCAGCCATCTCCTAAGCAACAGGCAAAGCTAGATACTCCTAAACAGAATCAACAAACACCTAAAAAAAATAAAACACCTAAACAGCAAGTCAAAACTCCTAAACAAGATATACAAACTCCTAAACAAGAGATTCAAACTCCTAAACAGAAAAAAAATCAACAAACCCCAAAACAAAACAAGCAGAAAAAACAACAGACAGATAAGCAGCAAGTAGTAGCTCCAAATAAGTCAAATAAAAAAGCTAAACAGGTACCTTTGAAAGGCACTTCCCAAGTGGAAGAGAAACCAAAAAAGGAAAAAAAACCACAGTCCTCTGATAGTCCAAATGATAAAAAAAAGAAAAAGAGGAGACATCAATATAATAGTATAGTAGTCAAACTAAATTCAGGAGATAAAGCTTTGAAAATTGAAGCCTTAAAAATTATAGACGAAAAAATTAAGGTTATGGAAAGTAGAGGAAAGTTAACAAAGACAGGTTCACGTAAATTGACACTGTTGAAAAAGTTTAAGAGAATAGCACAAGGTCTCCCACCACTAGCTCCACCCGGTAAATCTGAGTCTACCAAA